TGATTTCAGCTCCCTGCCTCCTCTGCTCTTTGCCACCTGCAAGTGTTTTTGGCCACACCCACTTCTCCGCTGTGCACGGTGAACAGCTGATCAGCTGCAGCAGGAAGTTTCTCCTGCAGTTTAGGCTACACAAAAGTGCAACAGGTGCTAAATAATTTAAAATAATTTATTTTAAATAAAAATTCCATGCCAATTGTGTGTCATGTCCAATCTTATTTTGAAAAACCCAGATAAACGAACCACGAAGTAGCGAGGGACTACTGTAAACATGTTTTCTATATTTTTTTAATATGTTTTCCTTTTAGAACTTCATTCATTCAGTTTCTTCAGAAATTTATTTTATGCAGTTGTCTCACAATGTACAACAGGGGTGCCCACACTTTCAGCATACGAGCTACTTTTAAAATGACCACGTCAACGTGATCTACCAAGTCTAGTGATCTACTATAAGGACTCGTTTACATGAGAACAACCTCTGGAAAATGTTTCCATGTTTTTTCAATGTTTATTGGTGGTAATAAATAAAAAAGAGCAGGTTTTAGGGCTGGACAATATGGCCAAAACTTTTATCACAATATATTTCTTAATTTCGGTCGATAACGATATAATTCAATATTGATATAAACAATATAAAAGCCTCAGAAAAACTGTACAAATAAATTAATGTTCACCTTTTATTTGTATTTGGCCTTCAAAGAAATTTGAAATCACTGTCAAATAAACATAAAACTTTCAACTTTGTCAATTTTAATAGTTTGAACTTTAAACAACAACACAACTTAACAACCCATGCAGCAAACACAGAAGGGTTTCTCTTGATACAGCTGGGGGTGTTTCAGGGACACGTTGACTCAAACATTATTGTGCTTCATCTTCTGACTCTCAGCATATTCTATCGAGTGAAAACTCTTCAGATGAAACAAGTTAAACGTGTTCCCACCGCTAGTTGGAACGACTGTCACATTTTGCAGCACACTGACTGAAACCTGCAGCTTTTCGGATCTTAGATAGCAGAACCACTTCCACACCACTGAATTAGTCTTTCCTCTCTTATCAATGATGTCATCTGTTTTATCTTCACTTGTGAAAGCTTCTTCTGTCACATTCTGACGGTCAAGGGAACTCATTTTGAAGCGAAAACTTAACACACGTTGGAGATTAGCCTAGCCTAGCCTGCTACCGTTCTCTCCTTCTGGACTCGAGCTCTGCGTAACATCTACGTCACCACGCACTTACGTAGTTGTGTCGCAGCTTTTTCTGTCTGAGTTGAAACTGAAGTGGAAGTTTCAACACGAACAGAAAAATAAAAGTGTCAGTGAAACGCTGTAATCCTATCGAAAATGTGCTTAAAACTCATATCATCGTTATTGAATAAGTATATCGCAACATATATCGATATCGAATTATTGTCCAGCCCTAGTGGGTTTACAAGAAAAATGCAGTAGTTTCCATGTCAGTTGGGTTGCCAGATAAGAAATTATTAACTATAATACGGTCGCTTTAAAATTGTAGTATTTTGACCTAAACTGTCATATGTGCTGAGTAAAGATATTCTAAGATGAGGTGTGTGTTGTGTTTGTTGAACATGTGCACAGAAAAGGAGGGGGTAAATAATACTTTTTAAATTTAAATATATCTGGCAACCCTGAATTGCAGGGCTCCGCATTCATTCATTGCGCATGCAGCGCCTGCATGACGGTTACGTCCAGACTGCTGAATACATTAACGTCTCTGTGACTGGACTTCAGTAGTTTTCTCTGACATGCTGAAAAAAGCGTGAGTAGCACACAAACACTCTGCTGTCTGCCATTTATTATAACTGTTGTTAGTGCAGAAAAACTTTGCACTGCAGCTGCCCGCAGTGTGCGACTTCACATATGGAGAATTTCACATGGTGTGTAAGGGGGGTGTGGGAGTGGGGGGTGCGGGTGTTGTTCCCCTGAAAATCTCCACTCTGAGACCTGGTTTGAGAGAATGAGGGCTGTGACTGGCTGCCCTGTATGTCAGTCAAGTAACAAGTTTCATAGTGAGGGTGGATGATAGGCTGATGTCTTTTTTTATGCCATGAGATCTACCCATAATGCCTTTGCGATCGACTGGTAGATCATGATCGACGTATTGGCCACCCCTGCTGTACAATATAATTTTTTGACCATATGCTTTTCCTTCATGATTATTTTAACTCTGTTGTTTTTAATCTTGTTCTATTTTTGCATTCGTTCTGAACATGCCAGACGTGCATTTTAAATTAAATTGGTAAAAGTTTATTTTCTCGTTCTCATTCACTTGTCCCAGCGGTGTGATTTGATTCAGCTTTTTTTCTTGCTAGAGCACTACAAAACAACATTTTTATTACCGACTAATTTTATGTTAGTCGAAAATAAAGGCTATTCCTGGCCTCCAAACAACAGTTCCATTCTCTTTTTACATTTTAAGTCTCTAGTTAAAATGTCGAAGGTGTGTCAAATTAAAGACATTTGTGTATTTGTTTGTAAAAACCCTCACATTTGCAGACATAGGCCCGGTCCATCATCCAGATGAGAGACGAGCAGAATTCACAGTATGTGGGGATGCTGTACTGAGTGGATTTGAAGATGTGGCCATTATGCTCCTCCACCTGTAGAGGGCAGCAGAGCACAAGTTCATGTGTGCATTTCAAACATATTCATTTTGAACAACAAACAAAACTCGCAACCAACTGTAAAGAAATACCAGCTAAAAAATTTAAAGTTTTGTCTATCATTATCACAATTAAGGGGTAAATATATAAGAATAAAGAGGCTTACAATATCAGTTTCCTTTTTCCTCCGTTTTTTGCGTTCAGGTTTAGGTACCTGCTGCAGGAGATAAACAGGAACAAATATATATAATACATGTTGCTCTTATATACTTTGCTGAAAAAAAAGTGCAAACAAGTGATCTATTACCTTGTTGAATGTGCCATCCTGTGGTTTGTACTCAGTCATGAACTCATCCAGGAACACTTTAAACGTGTTGACCCACACTTTGACAGGCGACTCCCTCCAGTCCCGCTGCTCCTGACGCATGGTCTTCTCCAAGATCTGCTCAAACAGAGCGTACAGGTCTTTGTAGCGGATACTCTTCCCATCATCCATCTGCGGAGAAAGACGGCGAGGTCACAGGAAGAGTCAACACGGCAAAATTCTGACCTTTACTAACGATCCGAAGGATATTTCAGACCGTGAAACTGAGTTTCTGTTGGTCTTCTACCACCTGAAGCAAGATGTTCATTTTTAAGCAGCCTTACTGATATCAAAGCAAACTGTCTTCATAAGGCCGGATGACAATAGTGTGGATGTTTGTGAAACACACTATTGTCATCCATTTTTCTTCCGTACGTTTTTTTGGCACAATTCTCATCCCGCAGTTTTCTAGCCATTTCAACAAATCATACAGTTTATCAAAATGTTCAGCTCTTTCAGGACAATCCTGCTATGACTTTTGGTATTTGTGCAATTTAGCTTTTTGAGATATTTAGCCTTTTCTACCACTTTTTTCCTCATGGAAAATTAATTGAGCTCATTTTACAGCCTTCAAATCTTTAGATCTGTTTACAACCCTTTATTCTGGTTCAGCTTCTTTCAGCTTCCTTCTGCAAATTTAAACTTTTTATCAGCTATTTTCAGCTAATTTCAGCTGTTTTGTGCTCATTTCAGATTCTTTCTGCTAACTACAACATTTTTGTGATTCTTCTAACTTCTTTCTACTAATTTCATCTTGTTACACTCCTTTCAGCTTAGTTCTGCAAGTTTCAGCTTTTTCTACAATTTCAGCTACTATTTAGCTGTTTTCATGCTAACTTAAGCTTTTTCAGCTAATTCCATTTTTTTTGCACTAATTTAAATTTTTTTCAGCCCAATTCAGTAAAAATGTACTCTCTCTACTTCCTTCTGGTAATTTGTGTCTTTCTGCTTTTTTCTGCTAATTTAAGCTTGTTCTACATTTTCAGCTAGCTTTTTAAAAAAAAAAATTTTATTTAGCATTTTTAAGCTAATTTCAGCTGTTTTCAGATAAATTCAAGTCTTTCTTCACAATTTCTGCTACTTTCAACCTAATTAACTTATTTCTGCTAAATTCAGCTTGTTATGCTCCGTTCTGCTTTTTTCTGCTAGTTTCAGCTTTTTCTGCTATTTCAGCTACAATTTAGCTGTTTTATGCCAATTTCATTTTTTTAGCTAATTTCCTAGTTTTTGTTTATTCAAATCTAATTCAGAAAACATGTGTTCTTTCAGTTTTCTTCTGCTAACTTAGGCTTGTTCTTCCATTTCAGCATGTTTTTTAGTAAGTTTTTTTGCAGTAAGCATTTACACTGCATTTTTGCAGGAAATGTAATTCCTCTAGTTTTGATTTAATGTTTTGTTTTTAATCATGCATTGCAATTATTATTTTTTTAGTTTTGCAGATAAATCAGTATTCAGTAATTGTATAAATAACTGTGTTCACACTGTTAACTTACTGCCAGAGCTGTGGAGTACGAGTTGAAGATGTTCAGACGGAATTCCTTCAAAGCCTTTTTAAACACGACGTCCACCATCGTGTCCTTCTTACTGTCCTCTGTGTCCAAGTCACTGATCTGAACATGACGACACATTAAACGTTTACCTGCATCGTCTACAGTCTAAGTCCCATGTGTCAAGGCGATACGCGAGCAGGTTGCTACCTTCTTCATGAGGAAGTCGTTCATGCTCCTGTAGTCGTTGATGGAGGTGAGAATCTGCAGCGCATCGTTCTGCCACTGAGCGGGCTCCATCAGGGCCACGTTGCTGATCTTCACGCTCCGCCTTCTCTTCACCTTGGGAGATGGCTCCTTGTTCTCCTTCAAGTCTCTGAACCCTCGATCCAGAATCAGATCTGGACTGTAGGGTGGCGACGTGTTTTCCTGGCCTGCTGGATGAAAACGTTATAAACACCTCAGGCCTCCAAAACAAAGTCATCCTCCGGTAAACACTCAGTGTATTTACAACTGTATCACATTTAACAACAAAAATGAAGGAACATCTTACTGTCTCCGAGTAATGGCCCAGTTTCACCAGAGTCTCCATCAAAGGAATCAGCACCACCGATCAGCTTTTCTCTGGATAGCTTCTTTTCTCCGTACTTGGTTTTGCCCCAGAAACGCATCTTACCCCGGACCCTGCTTGATAAACATCCAAAACACAAACCTTTAATATAAATGCGATCATCCTGTTCATTTATTGTTTAAATAACAAAAACATTAACTACGGATACTACTAAGGATACGAGGGCTACAACAAACCTTCCATCTTGTGAATTCTTGCGCATCGAGTCCACTTTGCCCAGATCTCCTGACGACATGGCTTTGTGCAACTTCTTTTGCTCTTCAGAGCTCGCAGGCTGAAACAAAGTGATGCCAAATAACATATTAAAGCCAAAGTAAAATGGGACAATTTACAAAAAAACATTTTGAGATAGTCAATAAGCTGAAAACAAATTTAATCCAGTAGATGGCAGCATCTCGTCACAGGAAAGTTTTTCATTTAGCAGAACTTGTCCATACAAAAATTAAAACTTTCTATCTATATAAACAAAACACAAACAGTGGACCAATAATGGCAAACATCAAGTAAATACAAGAAGGATGTGTTCAGAAAAAGAAATCTCTTTTTGAAGGGTTTCCAGTGTTTGATTAGAGACTACAGAGAAGTGGATCCAAGTCACATGCAGACAAAACGGATTACTGGGAAAGAATCAGAAATAAATCACAGCTGAGAGAAAGAGAGACGCTAAACACGGTTAGAAAAGCAACTACGTTACATGTTTTATATGTTCAGGGAAAATACATTTCAAAATATGTCCTTCATAGTGATGCATAAAGTCAAACATACACTGTTGACTTCTTACGTAGACTACTGATTATAAGGGGTTTAAAATACTTGACATATTAAATTAGGGATGCACGATATTGAATTTTTTGCCGATATCTGATATGCCGATATATTAAACTTATTTGGCAGATAACCGATAAATATTTTTTAATATACTTTCCTTTGTCAGAACCTATCCCTCTTATTTAGGCTTATTTGCTACAAACTTTGTGCAACAGCTGTAAGAGCTGGTGACATATTCAGTAACAGCCATATGATATACATAGCACTTTAACTTATATTAAATGAAAAATGTTGAATGTTATTTATTAGCATTAGTCACCTGTGATGCTGTCTCACTTGTGGAGGCTTGTTCCAGGTTCCTAGCTGCAGTGTGGGATCCTCTGCACTCTTGTGCATGAAGGACAGACTTTTTAAGTTCAAAGTTTTTGTCTATTCATTGTGCTGTAAGACTAATCATGCTAACGGGGCTAACACGACGTCCAAATGTCTGTGGTAGAACTCACCCAAGTGCTATCAGCTATTAGCTTCTCAAGGACGTCAGAAATGACGGCTTGTAACTCGGGTAAGGTTACATTGGAAAAATATCTCTGACTGGGGAGGATGAAACGAGGCTCAACGTAGTTCAAAAATCTTCGGGATCCGACATCCTCAATGAAAAAAAAAAACCTCCACACCGCTGACATTTTGACTTCTTCCTCTCCGCCGTGATCAAATCAGGTAGGTGCATGTAACGTCATCACATTGTGCTGGCGCTGCAGACATCCTTATCACTGGGTTGTCGTACAAAAACAGCGTCTTTTATATCGGCGAGTTATTTTGATGGAATGGCCGATGTCCTATATTTAACGCTAATATCAACCGATAGTGATACCATGCCGATAATATTGTGCATCCCTATATTAAATAATGCTATAGTTAAATAAAAACATTAATCGTTTAGTTACAATATAGCAGGTATTTCAAAATGTCTTTGAAATATCTGCTTTAAAAGGCCTTTGAAATGTCTTCCACTCTACAGGAAACTTTTTATTTTTAAACAGAAATTTGTTGAAGCTCAGTTTGAGTCAGAGGTGAGTTGCAGACACATGCGCTCTACTGAACGGGGTTAGAAATGTCAGAGAAGGCACGCTTGGACAGAGTAGAGAGGGCCACCGGTGGCGTGGCGGGCGCCTGTTACCATGTCCGAGTCACTGAAACAGGACTCTCTCAGGCCCGCCTCCGAGGAGCTCTGTTTGGAGAGGGGCAGGGTGAAATGGCGTGAGCTGACGAGGCTGTCGCCATGGTAGTCATCCTCGTCTGAATTGCCCCCAGCGGTGAGGCTGGGGACGCGGGTGAGGAAGTCGGCGCGGGTCCGTGCCATTCTGGCTTTCTTTTTTTGGCCCACTCTGCCAACCTGAAGTTTACCAGAGGTGATAACAGCAAAGTTGAAAACGTTTCCGTACGGATCTCAGAGCTTTAGTGCATTCTGTTCCTCATGTCGTGCAGCTGCTCCCACACCACGATGAACTATTCTGCCAAGACTTTTTCACTCCAATACAAACACATGCTGGATGAAACAGATGTTTTGTAAAACAATAAAAAATTTAAAAAAAAACACTCACATCTTGTGCTTTTGCTCCTTTAGAGGGCTTTGAAGCTGGTCTGAGTCCTTCATTGGAGATAGCTGCAGCTGTTCCTTTAGATGAAGCATCACTATCAAAACTGATGGAGGGAAACAAGAAATACATTAATGATACGCAAGCGAACAATGAGCAGCAATTTAAAACAAAAGTACAACCAAATGAATAAACTAATAAATACTCAAAAAAAGATCTAAATTTTCATGATATCCCATCCCTAAAGGACCTGATAAAAAATTTGCTAAGAAAAAAAACATCTCAACTACAAACAAGTGGTACACCGATGCAGAGAGATTTGAATAGTGAACGTTTTTGTTGTTCTTTTAGATGAGTGTCTTTCTGGACGGGAATTGAACAGAAAATGCAAGTAAACCTTAATCCTTTTGGTGCAAGATGTGTAGGAGTTAATCTGTGTAGAAAAGTAGATTTTTTATTTATTTTTGAGGCGGTGCAAAGTGAAGGATCCTGGTGAGTGGAGGGAGACATTTTATCCACCACAAGGCACAATGGCAGATCCAAGGGGGTGGCATATGGTGGCCTTGGCCACCATAGATCAATCTTCAGTCACCCAAACCATTTAAGGAAACTATACTTTTTAGCAATATAAAAACTAGAAAGCATAGTCTCATAAAATGATCAGGGTGGCTTGTTTACATACAGTATTATAGAGGTAGCTGTTAGGGGAATTTATGTAAAGGTTATAGATGTTTATTAGTACAATGCCTTGCAAAAGTATTCGGCCCCCTTGAACTTTTTAACCTATTGCCACATTTCAGGCTTCAAACATAAATATATAAAATTTTAATTTTTTGTGAAGAATAAACAACAAGTGGGACACAATCATGAAGTGGAATGAAATTTATTGGATGTGTCAAACTTTTTTAACAAATAAAAAACTGAAAAGTGGGGCGTGCAATATTATTGGGCCCCTTTACTTTCAGTGCAGCAAACTCACTCCAGAAGTTCAGTGAGGATCTATGAATGATCCAATTTGTCCCAAATGACTGATGATGATAAATAGAACCCCCCTGTGTGTAATCAAGTCTCCGTATAAATGCACCTGCTCTGTGATAGACTCAAAGTTATGTTCAAAGAGCAGAGAGCATCATGAAGACCAAGGAACACACCGGGCAGGTCCAAGATACTGTTGTGGAGAAGTTTAAAGACGGATTTGGATACAAAAATATTTCCCAAGCTTTAAACATCCCAAGGAGCACTGTGCAAGCAATCATATTGAAATGGAAGGAGTATCAGACCACTGCAAATCTACCGAGACCCGGCCGTCCCTCTAAACTTTCATCTGGAACAAGGAGAAGACTGATCAGAGATGGAGCCAAGAGGTCCATGATCACTCTGGATGAACTGCAGAGATCTACAGCTGAGGTGGGAGAGTCTGTCCAAAGGACAACAATCAGTCGTACACTGCACAAATCTGGCCTTTATGGAAGAGTGGCAAGAAGAAAGCCATTTCTCAAAGATATCCATAAAAAGTGTTGTTTAAAGTTTGTCACAAGCACCTGGGAGACACCAAACATGTGGAAGAAGGTGCTCTGGTCACATGAAACCAAAATCCAACTGTTTGGCCACAATGCAAAACGATATGTTTGGCTTAAAAGCAGCACAGCTCATCACCCTGAACACACCATCCCCACTGTCAAACATGGTGGTGGCAGCATCATGGTTTGGACCTGCTTTTCGTCAGCAGGGACAGGGAAGATAGTCAGAATTGATGGAAAGATGGATGTGGCCAAATACAGGACCATTCTGGAAGAAAACCTGTTTGAGTCTGCAAGAGACCTGAGACTGGGACGGAGATTTATCTTCCAACAAGACAATGATCCAAAACATAAAGACAAATCTACAATGGAATGGTTCACAAATAAATGTATCCAGGTGTTGGAATGGCCAAGTCAAAGTCCAGACCTGAATCCAATCGAGAATCTGTGGAAAGAGCTGAAGACTGCTGTTCACAAACGCTCTCCATCCAACCTCACTGAGCTCGAGCTGTTTTGCAAAAATAATGGGCAAGAACTTCAGTCTCTCCATGTGCAAAACTGATAGAGACAAACCCCAAGAGACTTGCAGCTGGAACTGCAGCAAAAGGCGGCGCTACAAAGTATTAACACAAGGGGGCCGAAGAATATTGCACGCCCCACTTTTCAGTTTTTTATTTGTTAAAAAAGTTTGACACATCCAATAAATTTCATTCCACTTCACGATTGTGTCCCACTTGTTGTTGATTCTTCACAAAAAATTTAAATTTTATATCTTTATGTTTGAAGCCTGAAATGTGGCAAAAGGTTGAAAAGTTCAAGGGGGCCAAATACTTTCACAAGGCACAGTAGCTAGTGTTAAACTAATGTGTGTGAGTTACAGAGTTGCTTGTGTATCTGCAGGAGCACAGAACCTGCAGACCTGATAAACTCCAAGGCCTCTAAGCTGGAAAGCAGAGCCTCTGTCTGATGAGCATTATAAATAGATGCTTCTTTATGCTGTCTGTGGTAGAGGATGACATTTTTTCAGGAATCCTGCAAGTCACGAGATTCCGGCAGGATGCCGACAGGACAGGAGTCAACTTTATAGTAACTCACAGGATTGGGATGTGACAGGAGGAAAAGTTAACAGGACCAGACAGGAGCGGGAACCAACAAATAGGACAAAAAATAAAATAAAATAAACTTTGGACAGGCGCCGCTATTTTCTAGTTTTCTTTCAATAAGTCTTCACGCTGGAATACCAGACTTGCAATTCGCTAGTCTGTAATGTGTTAAACACAAAGTAATATTAAAAAGGAATGGATAGAAGATTAAATCAAATTCAGTGTATTACCTAAAGACTAAATGGAAGAAAGAAAAAACAACAAGAGCGGTACAGGAGTGGGAGTGATTCTGACTGGGAGCAGGATGGGAATAGGAATCATGTTACCAGGAGTGGGACAAGACAGGATTTTTTTTCTGTGGGACCAGGACAGGACAGAAAATCCACTCCCATGTCATCCTCTAGTCTGTGGGCAGACCTTACGACAGGAGCTTCCATGTAACATCTGTGTAAGCCTGTGTGTTAACTCTGCCCCACAAGGAGTGAAATAAGGTTGAAACATCTCGTATCCTCAGTGTGGCTTATTTGATTATTGAGATGATGAAAGGGTAATTAATTTATCCAACAGTGGCCATCTTGTATTTTGCTGTAGCAATCCAATTTTCAATGTGGACCTTTCTTACACCTAGATGCAGCCACACACCAAAACTGAAGCGAGCACCTTAATTTTCAAGTTAACCAGCTCACAAGACAGACAGATGGATGGACGAACAACGGACAGATGGAGGGAGGGTGTTTCCAATTTCCCTGCTCACTCCATGACAGGCAACAAAAAAAAGTGCTGAATATAAAGACAAAATCATTAGCAGTGTTTCCCCTACCATTATACAAGCAGGGCGCCTCGCCCTGCCAACAGAACTGAGCGCCCTGCCTACCGAACTGCCGCCCCCCACCGTCGACTAAGGCTGAACGATTTTGGAAAATATTCTAATTGCGATTTTCACTTCAATATTGCAATTTAATATGCGATTATTTTTCAATGTTTTCTTCTCGTGTATTTTTCAATGAACACAAGCAATAAATCGTTTTCAAACTCCAGTTTTCAGCTCCGCTGCAACTCTGTTTCTGCATTATTTGTATAGCTCCGGGAGAGCAACTTGGTTAAAATGTGTGCATGATGTCATTCTGTACCACTTTTCCATTGTGTTTACCAAAACTGTAAACCACTATATTAATGGGCATCATGTCTTTCGCTATGAACTCCTTTATTGCTCGAGTTATTTCCACGTGCAGCTTCAAATTATGTTCATACGGAGTAATACCTTCCAACAGTTCAGTCAGTGATCCCTGTCAGCTGCTACTTTGCTTACTTTAAGTTGAACCACTGGTCATTGGCATTCTAGCCATGCAACTATCATAAATGGCTTTGTGGTGGGGTTTTTTTTTAAGTGTTGATAAAGATTTGTGGTGTTACCTCGAGAGGTAGCAACAGCAGCAAGGCAGGTTCTGCACAATACATGTCGCTGTGCAGCGTCTTCTTTTTTATAGACAAAATAATTCCAAACAATGGACGTGCTGCTTCTTTGGTAGCAAACTTTCAGATGTATCAGATTCTGTCGAGCCTGACGCCACTGGGCAACTGGTTAAGCGTGGTGTTGACTTCTTCTCTGCTCCGCTCATTCGCAAGTCACGTAACCAGATCATGTGACCAGTCAAATTGTAGCCTTTGCGATTAGAAAATCTTGTTTTATCATATCGCAATATTATTGCAAATGCAATTAATTGGTCAGCCCAATCAACAACTGCCAGCACTGACATAGCTCTAAGCTAGCTGTGCGCAATACAGACATGCTAACTAAAAAGCTACAGAGGTAGCGCACAGTTTCCTTCATGCTGAGCCACTCCACCCCTGTTAACAAAAATCATGGAAGATATGAGTGTCCTGCAAAGGCAAGTAGACTAAAGGAAACACTGGTCTGAGTTCGATTTTCAGTAGAGAGCGATAAATAAAATTAAACAGCAACACAAATGAAAGGAGCTCTTCATATAAGCAACCATTTGGCCTTTTAAATAACACTATTAATAAAATCCTAGGAGATAAACACAAATCAAGACAACGAGGGCAAACAAGGTTACTTTGAGCTGGATACTCACGAGGTAAACGCCACTTTGTCATTCGGAGTGAAGAAGTAGTTTCTTGGTTTTTCAGTCGTGCTGACTGTGGTGTCTTGTTGAGTTTGTTTCTCGCCAGCCGTTTTGATTCTGCTTCCTCCTCTTGACTCCAGTGTGAGTTTGGGTGCCCAGCCCTGGGCAGCAGGTTGGCTGCCTTTGCGCCTTTCTGTGGGGGCTGACGAAGGTGGAGGGGGCAGCTGGGGGTAACGGGCACTACCGTGGCTGTCAATGTCTGGTGGGGAGTGCAGCGCTGGGGGAGTCGAGTCTGAATGCGTTCTGCTGTGAGGAGCTTGCTGGGATGTTTTCTCAATCAACAAGGAGCTGGGTCTTGGGGTTTTGATGGAGCTTGTGGTTCTTGCGATGTCCTGCCTGACCTCTCGGCTCTGCTTGATCCTGAGCATGGCCTCTCCTTTTTGCTTCTCGAACATGTCTTTCTCAAACTGAGCAAAGATCAGCCGCTGTTGCTCCAGGGCTTCTTTCTGTTGTCTTATCTGCTCCATCATCGCCTTCTCGTTCTGCTGCTGCAGGTTGCGCTGTCGCTCCTCTTTCTCCTCATTCAGCTGCAGCAGCTTTTCTATGACAAACTGATCGGGCTGAGAGGCTGGACCGCGGCTCACAGACACTGGAGCAGGTTCCTGTTCTGAAGATGCCAAGTTGTTGGTCTGTGCTGCAGAATCTCGAAAAAGCACTGGAGTTGGGATGATTCTTTTCAGCTCTTCACTGAGGGGCGTTTCTTTCTGCATGCTGATGACCACAACCACAGGCCGCCGCGAGAGCTCTCGTCTCTCTTTGAGAGGCTTCATATTGTCTGAGGTGGTCGTAGAAATGGCCGTTTCTTTGTTTCTCTGAGGTTCCTCTCTAGTGGTATGATGATGATGATGGTGGGAGACTGATGTCATGCCTTCACGAGCAGGGACATAAAACGTTGGGAGGTTGTTCTCGATTTTGGAAGGATACGAGGGGGCAGACAGATCTAGTTTGGTTGAGCTCTGGCTATGTTCAGGATGAACACCATCAGAAACCCTTGTTTTGTGAGGTCCCGCAGGCTTTGGACTTGATGGACCAGCCTCTTTGTTAAAATCTGATGCTGGAGACACGGGTTGGACGTGGGAGAAGGGGTCCTCGCTGTCTGTCACCTCCTCTGTTGCCTTTGGAGGCTCCTCGTCCATGGTGAGGAGCTCAAAGCTGCCTTTGGAGCTCTGGCTGTCAGGTGTGCCTTGCGGGGACTGAACAGGTGAGCTAGCAGGGGGCACCAGCTCCAGAGACCAGCGCTGTTCCTCAGAGGGCGATGACGCTCCACCACTGTTTGCTCGAACCTTGAGGAGCTCCAGGCTGAACTTGGCCTGCTCTAACTCTCTCAGCCGTCGGCTCTCTCGTTTGGCCCGGGTGGTTTTGTGGCTCTGCTCGTCAACAGCTCTCGGCCTCTCTCGCTCCACCGCAGTAGATGTTGGGACCGAGTTGGATGCTTCGGTTTCTGCTTTTACCCTTGAACTTTCATCTTCGTCCTTTTCCTCCGTTTTACCTTCCCCCCTGTGGGCGACGAGATCCTGGAGACTCTTTTCTCGTTGTTCGTAGGAACGATCCTCCCATGTGCTGAGGTCCAGCCCCATGATTTGTTCAGGCGACTCCTCCTCCTCCTTTCCAGGTGAGACACTCACCTGGCCATTCTGAAGCTGAAGAAGTGTTTCTTGCTGCTCCTTCTCCTCTCTCAGTCTCTGTTCTTTCAGTTTTCTAAAGCTGCAAATCAAGAACAGTAAAATAATCCACACAGATCCATACTTCAGGAGTTCTAAAGATGGTTTCAGAGCCGACACTGCTGTCACCTTCAAACCACCTGAAAAAATAATTACAGTAGGAGTTAGATGGTCAAAGCCTCGCTCTCAGCTCAGCTGATTGTAGGGCTGCTTTGAGTTGGAGTTCTTGTATAACGGTTCGCTCCTAAAGTCTGTTTGCACGCTGAACAAAGACGAATTACAGTGCCGGGGCTGTGTGCAAAGATTAATCTGGTGTTTCAAAAGCTTTAACAATCTATTCTGAGAGCAGCGGGCTTTAGTGGAAGTGCCACAGAGTTTCTTGCTCAACCTCCACATGTTCTCAGAGTTTTAACAGCTTACCTCTGCCTGGTGAGGAAACCTCTGCTTGCCGCCTGTAGCTGTATCGTAGCATCACACAGTCTCAAGTAGGCATCTCTGGCTCGATGACAGCGCCAAGCTGCCTGGATTACCACAGCTGCCGAGCAGCGCCAGCACAGCCAGGACCTCCACGCCACCTGCAGGACCAGAACGGCCTGCTTCCGCCGCCTGAACCTCAGACGCTCTACGTAACCTCGCCAGTGTGTCTGCAGGCACAAGGCGGCCCCCTCCTCGACAAGAGGGTAAAGTTCTTCCTGCTTCTTGATGGACAGGTGAGAACGCCACAGTTTCTGCAAGAACACAATTTAAATGGTGAATTGTTTTTATTACACTATGATGGTTTAGTCTCTGCACATTTCTATGCTCAGCAAGACAAAACTTCATGTAAAATAATATTTTAATTGAATGTTTAGTAATTCTTGAAATAACGCCTGACAGCTTTAAACTACGATCGGCTCATAAAAAAAAAGAAAGACAAAATTATTGTTATTTTGGTCAAAGCTTTGAAAATATCTTGAGCAAAATGAGGTTCAATCTTGAGATGTTGCAAAGTCTGGGAATGACTCACTGACCATTACATCCAATATAAGCTCAATATAGTTAAACTGCTTGGGTTACGGCCATTTTTATTGGTTAAGATTGATTAGCTGTAGCAGCCATCTTGAATTACTTTTGACTCCAGAAGTAAATCAGTTGTGTATGAACATCCCATGATCATTTTGGAGTGTTGTAATAAAATCCATCCAGTAGTTCATGTGATTTATATATATGTATAT